CGCCGCCGCCCAGCGATCCGGCCGCGGCGGCTCAGACCGCGGCTGCGGCGGGCGCGGGCGGCGGCGGCTTCCTCTCGCCCGCCCGTCTTGGGACCTTTGCCTGCGCGCCTACCCGCGGGGTAACAGCGCGCGCTTCGGCCCTCAGCGGGACGGGGACCTGGGACGTCAGGCCCAAGGCCCTGCTGTCCCCCACGGTGAGTCCCCCGCCTACCCCCGGCCCGCTCGGCGCGCAGCCCCAGCCCCGGGTGCTCTCCCCTGGCCGCCGCCCCCTCGTGTCCCCTGGGCATATGCACACGCAGGTGCAGTCCTCGCTGCTCTGGCCACCGGCCGGCAAACACCCTGGCCTCGACCCCCGCGACCCGCGGCCGCCGGGAGGGGACGGGGAGGAGCTGGCGGGCGGCCCCGGGCGTACAGCCCTGCCTTCGGTGGCCCAACCCCCCCCATTCACGGAGCCGCGGCTGTGACTCGCTGCCCAGTGACGTGGGGCGGCCCAACTTTACGTAACCCGCCTGGCGCCCCACGGGTATCCGCACAGGGGTACATACACCTGGGACGCAGAGTCCCAGGCTTGGGGGGTGTGTTTCGGGCATGGTGCCCCCCCAAGAGCACTGCGGCTGTAGCCCACTCCCCAGAGTGTTCGTCTCTGTAACTTAGTTACCCAGTGTGTGTGGACGCGGCCTGTGCGCTGACCCAGGCCCCTTGTGACCAACAGCTTACCCTTGAGAGAAAGCAGTGGGGAGCTTGGACCAGGGTCAGGAGTCAGAGACCAGGGCTCAGTTTGGGGCCGGGGGCTCAGCGGGCAAGGTCAGGCAGGGCTCAAGCTGGGCTCCCTGTGGGTTGGGGGCTCCTGCCCCCCCCCCCCCCCCCTCGGGCGAGGCGGGCGTGGGGGGGGGGGGGGGGGGCGGGGGGGGGGGGGCGGGGGGGGCTCGGGGGGGGCCCCGTGGGGGGGGGGGGCCCCCCCCCCCCCCCCCCCCGATTTCTGGAATGAGCCCAAAATGGGAGGCAGGAAATCTTGGTTCTAGGCTTGGCTGTACCATGACTTGCTGACTGACCTTGGACAAGCTTGTCTCTTGCTGGAAAATGGGATGACAGTACCTGCTTCATCTAGTAGTTGGGAAGATCAAGAGAAGTTGCAGACCTGGAGGAGATTTGCTGTAAAGCGTTGTGCATAGCCGTTTCTAGGTTGATTTCGTTGCGGCCTCCTCCCAGCAGCTAGGGTTGATGATATCCAGTAAACATCATGTTTGGGTGGAAGGCTCCACCCCAGCTCACCCAGCCGGGGCTCACAACTTCCATTTCTCCCACCCCCTTTTTTACAGATGAGGAAGTTGAGGCTCAGAGAAAGAGAGTGATATATACTCAACGTCCTGTGATCAGAGTGCAGGAACCAGGTAGGTCTGGGTCTAGAACTCTGTCCCTGTCTGGGACGGGGGGAGGCCCTAGGGGCTCCCACCTGTGGTCAGGGGTCAGAGGATAGGGTCATGGTTAGGTGGAGCTTGGCTCAGCTGGAGAGGTGGGCTCCAACTTTCCTGCCCCCCAACCTGGTCTTTTCTGTTTGGGGTTGGATGCACCTGGTGAGCCTAGTCAGCCAGGTCAGCAGGTCTCTGGGCTGAAAGAGGTGGGGAGGTGGGTTTTCGGCGTGGTCTTGATGGCGGGTGGGGCTCTGAGGGTAGGGGGAATGGAAGGGCATCTCTATCTAGCAGAGGTGCCGGAGAACAAGACACTTTAAGGGAGGGAGAGCAGAGGCATCTAGATCAAGGATGTGGGAGGTGGGTTGGGACCTAGCAGAGAAGGGCCCCTCCTAAGCAGCAGGCAACCTTGAGCTTTGGAGCCTCACCGCGATCCCCTCCCCGCAGGTGCAGGTGGTCAGCTGCCGCCGGGCCCATGCCGTGAGGCCGGGAGGCCGGCGTCCGCCACCAGCATGCCGTGGGACGCGCGGCGGCCCGGGGGCGGCGCGGACGGCGGGCCGGAGGGCGCAGGCGCGGCGCGCTCACGGGCGCAGAAGCAGTGTCGCAAGTCGTCGTTCGCCTTCTACCAGGCCGTCCGCGACCTGCTGCCGGTGTGGCTGCTCGAGGACATGCGCGCCAGCGAGGCCTTCCACTGGGACGAGCGCGGCCGCGCCGCCGCTTACTCGCCCTCCGAGGCGCTGCTCTACGCGCTCGTGCACGACCACCAGGCGTACGCGCACTACCTGCTGGCCACGTTCCCGCGGCGCGCGCTCGCGCCGCCCAGCGCCGGCTTCCGCTGCTGCGCGGCGCCCGGGCCGCACGTGGCGCTGGCCGTGCGCTACAACCGCGTGGGCATCCTGCGCCGCATCCTGCGCACCGTGCGCGATTTCCCGCCCGAGGAGCGCGCGCGCGTGCTCGACCGGCGCGGCTGCAGCCGCGTGGAGGGTGGTGGCACGGCGCTGCACGCGGCCTGCGAGCTGGCGCGCCCCGAGTGCCTCTTCCTGCTGCTTGGCCACGG